ACATGCCCACAGATTCCCTCTTGATGTGCAACGAGCATGTGTAAAAGCTTTTTTTAGGTAGAAAATAGAAACATATTTACAAGGTATACAATTAGTTGTGACTACAGTGCATTTGTGAGTAGTTTCAGCTCAAAAATGTATAACTCTCTGAAACTGTCCCTTTTAGACTTTTATCCTAATTGTGCTGTTTTGGTGACTGTCGCTTTAAATTCAAATGAGATGTGTTCTGAGAGGTGTTTTCTTTTAAGAACAGGGCGGAGCTACAAATGCCTGTGTGTCAGCATTGTGGCAGATTGAAAACAGGACTAGTTCTCAGTGCAAGTCAGGTCTGCATGTTGTCGTTGGTCAGTGTGTGCTGCATGCTTCTGTCAGTCTATGTCGCTCCTGTCGCTGTTCATCTAAAACTCCACATCTATAATCCTCTTAGTCTATACTGACATTATTTTCAGCAGCTCAAACACTATAATGGCTAATGGACAGACGGCTGCTTCTCACTCAAGGCTGCTAGTGAGGGAGAGATGGTCACCAGTGGGCGGGGCTTTCCCCCTCTGATACAAGTACAAAGGGAGAATGTCAATCAAAGTGTCTTTATCAAGTCTGATTATAAACAATACAATTAATACATGTTTACCATTAGAAGCTGGTTTTATTCACACACTGTAACACAACAACTGTATTAAACCCCTTAAAAAATATTTTGGCATGGTAGATCCTCTATAAAGTGGATCTATTACACTAGGTTTATTACTTTGTTTTGGAGACTCCCACATCTAGGATTCACACTCTATATCAGGGGTGTGCAAACTCAGGCCCCGTTTACACTAGTGCGTTTTAGTTTTAAAACGGCGTTTTAGAATGAAAACGATCCGCGTCCACACTCACGTTTCTGAACTGCTCTCCGTCCGCACCAAAACGCTGAAAATGCACATCACGTGACCACACACACACTCTCGGGCAAATGCTGCAGCATTTCTACCCAGATGAGAGCTGTGCTGGTCGGACTGCTCATCAAGCATCTCCCGCTGGATCTAATCTCACTATATTTGCTAAACGTGATTATAAATTAATCTTGTTGTCTTTATCTAACGACATATTCCCCAACTTTGGTCTTTTGAATCGATTACTTGTTCACAGGTAACGTGTTTTGGCTGAGCGCAAAGATAAGTTAATGATTAATGTAACCACGCACATTCTGTATATTGACTGATCGCTTGCCTTTATTTCCTATAATGAATAAACTTATTGTATGTTATACTTTCATAATGGCTATTAATGTTTATTAAAACTGACATTCAGCAAAGCAGAGGATACGTTTCATATTTTCAATGAAATTGAAAGGAGGCAGTGATGTTATATAGGCTCTGTTTTATTCTAAATATGCATACAGTCTAAATATGCATACTCTGCATTTCTGCTGTCTGTTAAGTTGTTAATATCAAAATGAAAATAGGCAGTTCCTTAAATCATGTTTTCATTTTATTGTTGAGAAAGTGAAACAACGTAGCCAGCATGATGTAAATAAGATTATAAAGTACACTGTTCCCTTTAAAGATTTACCCGACATGTCCTCGAGGGTCTGTTTTCCCTATCAAAGTTGCGAAGTCTGAACTTACAAGGAGTGGATGCGAGACTGAACTGTGTGTGTTAGGCTACTTAATATTGAGGAAAAGCCCCAATCAGAAAGGCGAATGTCGGCAGCCCCGCCTCCGTTTTCAGGTGTCTCCATTTGGCCTCCACAGATACCAGATCTCAATCCAATAGAGCACCTTTGGGATGTGGTGGAACAGGAGATTGGCATCATGGATGTAGCCGACAAATCTGCAGCAACTGTGTGATGCCGTCATGTCAATATGGAGCAAAATCTCTGAGGAATATTTCCAGTAGCTTGTTGAATCTAAGGATTAAGGCAGTTCTGAAGGCAAAATGGGGTTCAACCCAGGACTAGTAAGGTGTACCTAATAAAGTGGCCAGAGTGTATATCTATGCATGTATGTGTGTGTGTGTATTATATTCTATATATCTTGAAAATGCAGTACTTTTAGTCTTGCCAAACATGTCTGCATTCGAGTGGGCCTAAAACACAAAAAGTATGTAAACATATATAGTCAATCTTGATTTAAGCAGATGCTTAGTTCTTTGTTTTGATATACAATATGCTCTAGGGCTGCTCGATTATGGGAAAAATCATAATCACGATTATTTTGGACATAATTGTAATCACGATTATTCAAAACGATTATTAGTTGAAGTCAACATTTTTTGTCCTTCTGTGAATTTATTTTTATTTATAAATATTTCCCAATTGATGTTTAACAGAGGTTTTTTTTTTTTTTTTACAGTATTTCCTATAATATTTTTTTTTCTGGAGAAAGGCTTATTTGTTTTATTTCAGATAGAATAAAAGCGGGTTTGAATATTTTGAAACCTATTTTAATAGCTCAATATTATTAGCCCCTTTAAGCAATACATATGTTTGATTGTCTGCAGAAGCAACTACTGA